GACTGAGCCACCCAGGCGCCCCATGAAAGACACTTCTGAATTGAGCTTGGCATTCCCAATCATAGCAGACTAAAAGATGAGCTATGTGTCATGCTTCTTCTGTCTACTGGGACATGGTGGTCAGCTTTGAGTGGACATATGAGTCATTTTCAATTAGTGTCTGTTAGTGATATAGCTTTTCAAATTTAGTCATTATAATTTGTGTTTGGGAATGAAACTGTTATCTAAAAATTGAAAAGCAAGGTATGGTGTGATGGCCACCCTAACTTCTATCTGCTCTCCCTGTTGACCCCAAAAGTAACGTAAACACAGGTTGTTGGCAAATTTTTGAAAGTTTTTCTCGTGTATACTGAACAGGTAAGTAGAAAAATGTAATGTAAATTGATAGGATATATAAATTGATGAGCAATTGATATGATAATTAAGTAACAAAAGTTTAATAGGTCTAGACAACAAGAATGGAATGTCTTTACAGTAGTTTTGAAAACACCCCCTAGAGATTTATGTATTGACACTTAGGGATTTGAAATTTAGCACAAAAAAACTTGGAAGAGAAAAATTTGTTTCTGCATGGAAAATATAATCAAGCATCTAATTCTGTCATAAGCTGATACTCATATATAAAAATTTTATTGACTGGTTGCATGAAAAAATTAGAATTTTGTTGGCTATAATTCATTACTTTATGGTACTCAGAATATTGGAATTTTAATTTAGAGTTGGATTTGAAATAACTAAAAACTTTAAAAAATGTTTTTATTTTGATAGGTTTTCTGAGAACTAGTGTAAGATGTTAGGAGCTAATATTAAGGAAAAGAGAAAAGTAAAACATAATTGTTTTGATGACTTCTCTTTATGTAACAGTCATAGATTTAGTCATTAGTTTAGTAACTAGTTCACAGTTCTTTGTCCTTGAACCCAGTATTTGGCCATGACTTTGGTGACCTTGAGAGACCTCTCGAGTTTCTTCATCTGTATAGACTCTGCTGTTTACTGAGTGGATTGAATCTTGCGTATAGGTGCTATTTAAGAGTTAAAATGTTTCATATTTGGGTTGCCTTATGGTAAAACCTCAGTTTCACTTTTCTAAGGTCTTTGAAAGGTAATACTTAATGCGCAGTATTAATAATTTGAAAAGTCAGACTCTTAATGAAATAGAACAGAAATAAGATGTATAAAGAGAGTTTGGAAATCCTCATGTCCTGCTGTATTCCTTATTTTGTTGTGGCTGGTTCTTGTTTTAAGTCCTTTCATCAGTAAAATGGAATCTTTTAGATCACCTTGCACATATGTACATGCACGCATGCATGTATGTAAGGTTCATGTACATACATGTTACCATCCCATATTACCTCTCTTTTTGGTTATAAATTGTATGTAAAAATGGTTGGTAAAGGAAGTATTGGAAACTATTTCTGTGAAAATGAGATTGTTCTGAATCAGGCCAAATATTTATATTTTTAAAATATTATATTTTATAAGGATATTTGACATTGGGGGGCACTTGGGTGGCCAATTCTGGATCTCAGCTCAGGTCTTCATCTTAGGGTTGTAGGTTCAGGTTCAGGCCCTGCATTGGGCTCTGTGCTGGGTGTGGAGCCTACTTAAAAAAAAAAAAAGAGAATATTTGACTTTGGCCTTTGGCTTTTGGATTGTCACCCTCAAATTGAAATGTCAGCTTACTTTAATTTTCCTTTTTTTTTTTTTTTAAGATTTTATTTATTTGAGAGAGAGAGAGAGCAGAGGAGGGGCAGAGGGAGAAGGCAGACTCCCTGTGGAATAGGAAGCCCGACCTGGGGCTTAATCCCAGGACCCTGAGACCATGACCTGAGCCAAAGACAGACACTTAACTGACTGAGCCACCCAGCCGCCCCTGATTTTCCTTTTTTCACATGTTTGTTTAATTTAATATATAGTTTTGGCTTACTAGATTAATATTTTCTTGAGTCTTTTTAGAGTAATTATTATACCCAGCAAGATAATTGTACAAATTTAGTTTCTTTTTTTTTTTTAAGATTTTATTTATTTATTTGAGAGAGAGAGAGCGGGAGTGGGGCAGAGGGAAAGGGAGAGAATCTCAAGCAGACTCCATGCTGAGTGTGGAGTCCAATGTGGGGCTCAGTCTCAGGACCCTGAGATGATGACCTGAGTCAAAACCAAGAGTCTGACATTTAACTGACTGAGCCACCCAGGTGCCGCCCAGGCGCCCCAGAAATCTAGTTTCTTTTTTATCAGTGCTCTACTTAATATAAACATGAGCAACAACTCTTTTCATCACTGCTTTATATTGGCATTTTTTGTCTTGAATATTTATATAAATATTCATGTTAACCAATTTAGTGAAAGAGCAAAGAGTTTATCTAGAGTAATGAACATATCAACTAGTTACTTTAGTATAAAGTAATACTGTTTTAACTCCCATTAACTCAATTCCTTACATGAAAGTATCATCCATATACCCAAACCTTAAATGAATTTACGCTAACTCAGAGGAATCCAGAACCCTGTTTGTTGCTTGGAGTAGACTGCTCGTGTCCCCAGTCTGGACTTTTAGAATCTCTGCTAATCTGTGTATTACACAGAAATGCGGAGAGAGCCATTGTGATTCCAAATGCCGGGTGCCTACAGAGTATCAGGTGCTCTTTTAGGTGCTATGGAGACAGTAGTGGATGAGCTGAAAATCTTCATAAACTCCCATGTTCTTATGGAGCTTATATTTTAGTAGTTGGAGACATTAAATTAACATTTAAATAAGATACTTGAAAATAGGTATGTCATCTTTGTTAAAAGAGTATGACAGCAGAGATTTTTTGTCCAGAGATTATTCTGAGATAGGTGACCATAAAACTTATTGTCCAAATGGGGACACTTTCAAGAGTAAAAAGGGGCACTATTAATAATGAGTCTAGGACAACTAGCATAAACCAGGACTGTCCTGGGTAAATTGAGTCACATGGTTGAAGAGATAACATTAGAGCTGAGACAGGAATAGGAAGCCTGCAGTGGAATCAGGCTGGGAACCAGAGAAGAGGAACATTAGAGAGAGGCCCAAGCTGGGTGGTGGTTTACTAGGCAACATTTGGGGGAAGAGAAGAATCAGAAGATGAAATAACCAAGGGAAGACAAGATCCAGGACAAGGAAAGTAAAATATGGAATAAGAGCTGGGAAAGAGGAGGAAGTGGGGACTAAAGGAGAACATGGGAAGTAAGGTAGTAAGTTGGGGCTAGAGAATAGTTGGGGTTATTTTTCCTTACGCACGTTTGTCTTGTGCCAAGCTTTGTGAGGCCCTGGGGGTACAACGAGAACAAAGGAGATGAAAGTATAGCCAGAGCCACCGATGTGTAGCTCCCAGGGGCACCATGTGCATTGTGCCTTTTTATGGCTCTTATATTCTAGTGGACAGCTAAGGCACAAGGGAACAAGTAATGATGTCAAGTTGTGCTGTTTTCAAGGAGATGAAAGAAGGTGCTATGAAACAGTGATGGGTCAAGGGTCTTCTTTAGATATTTGATGGGGAATCTGAAAGAGGGTTGGTAAACTGTCAGGTTTGGAATAGTCCAGGTGCTTTTTTCGAGATCTGGCTTTGGGGACATTTTTTTTTTTTTT